GTGTGTAATATTACCCCAATGATTTCCCGAGCTGCATATAATTCCCCGGTAGTTTTATCTTCCTTGAGGTGTTTATCTCGTTCTGATGTCGAAAAGAGTGTTCACGGGGTCCTTCTTTGGGCAATATTTAGCAGACATAAATAGTACGTGGCATAAGGACGCGCGGCCTTGAGACGGGGCCTCAACAGCTGAATACTTAATACAGTACAGTGCAGCATCTGTCCCGGATAAACACTCTAACTTTAGCTCATGACTAATATTGTTTAAGACAAATATAACAAATAACAGTTGATGGTCAATAGTGTTATTGTTATCATTACTTCCGTCAAGGAGATAGTTTTTGGTAGCGTTGGTTAATTAGTTTGTTTTTTTGTTGGTTCGCCGGATAACTTAAAAAGTTATAAATAAAAGAACTTTTTATGAGGTGTGCCTTAGCCTAACTTAGATGCCATTAAATTTCGGTGGTGAGGTGGTTCATGATCCGAATGCAGGATTTTTTAAAAATTATAGCCTCAGCTACCTTAATTGCCTTGGCAATATGGGTAACTGTTATTATTATCAACAGTGCGAGATAAGGACATTTTGGTGCTCGAATTATAATTATCGTATTGCCTTGGCGGAGGTATGCGCTGTGTTTCTGGTTATCATGTTATCATTATCATTATTTTTGTTGTTATTTCTGTTATTATTGTTATCATTATTTTCATTAGTAGTATCAGTATGGATGTTATAATGAGTATTATTATTATTATCACCACTACCACCACCATCATTATTATCGTTGCTATTATTATTTTTGTTATTACTATTCTTATTATAGTTATTTTTATTATTATCATATGCGTTATTTTTATCACCATCATTATTATTATCTTATTATATATTATTATTATCGTTACTTTTATATTATATATAATAATCATTATCATCATAATCATCATCACCATAATCATCATTACTATAATCACTACCATCGAAATCGTCGCGGTCATTATCGGCATCCTCTTCCTTATCATCATCATCATCATTATCTACTAGAAGAAAAAATGTAAGGAAGCGCTTGCAGTAGACAGCGCGGGAGAAACACTAGACCAGGAGCTCCCAACTTTTTCCATTCTGTGGCTCCCGACCAAAAAACATATTATCTCATTGGCCCCGTTCAGAGGCTGTCATCTTTTCTGATTCAGTTATTACTAGTTATGAATGGTGTATTTGTGTTAATAGCAATAAGGCGAGAACGTTAATGGAAAGAATTAATCACTGGCATGTGTGAGAGATGAATATATGTACAGTAGTTGAGATAAAAATCCAGTTTAATTCTTCATAACTTTCTTATGCTGCATGGCTCCCCAGAAAGTACCCTGTGGCCCGGTTGGCAACCCCTACATTAGACATTTATAAATTAGCTGTATTTGTGTATGGGTGTGTGTGTGTGTAAAGGGGCATAGAAAATATTTGGGCCCGCTAGTTTCCTCCCATTCCGTAATCCCCTATATTATATATATAATTATATATATATATATATATATATATATATATATATATAATATATATATGTATATATATATACATACACACACACACACACACACACACACACACACACACACACACACACACACACACACACATATATATATATATATATATATATATTATATATATATATATATATATATATGTATAGCACTCCGGTAAAGATTGTAAAATTAACGATTAAGATAGCGAAAAGGGTGAAGCGGGGGAGTAAATAAGTGAAGCGGAGATTAGTATGAGGAAAGGGTTACGGGTGTCACAGTTTTCAATATTTTCACATGTGTACGAAACACATTTTGGATACCCCCTCCCTCCTCGAAAAGAAAATGTTCACGAAGGTTACGTTGTTCCTTGTCTTTTAGATAAAACCTCAAAATGCTGAATAAAAGGATGAAAATATATACCACTTTATTTTCGCAGTAGAAATCACAATGGGCTCATGGAGTGAAAATATTTTGCATGTGCAAGAATAGCGTCAGGTGGATTTATGTAGCGTTTGTCATAAAAAAAAGCTTAGCATTTTTTTAAGCGCACACCAGCCCCCCCCTCCCCCACCCCAACTTAAAGTTTGTACGCTTGTGAAAATGTTGAAAATTGCGAACCACTCCTTAATTAAGGGCGCGGGCCAATTGGATGATATGGAGTGCACCTGTGGTTGAGGAAGGAATCGGATCATTGTTTGAGGAAAACTGGTAAAGGAACCATTATGGAATAATCAACGGGTAATACGGGTAGAGATGGCTGTTGGAGAAGTAGGAGGAGAAGAATCCGGGGACTGGGGAAGGTGAAGTAGAATGTCAGGAGGGAGTCCAGGACACTGTTGCGGCAGAAGGGATTCACGCGAGCATCCAGGTGGGAGCGGTGAGGATAATGGGGAACAAAGAGGGAATGGTGCACAAGGAGATGGAGAGGATGGGGTGTGTTGGGAAAGAATGGGAGGAAAAGGGGTAGGGGGAACTTAGTGGCGGAAGGTGGGTATCAGCAAATATTCTGAATGTAGGGATAGAGGGATTGGAGGGTGGATGAGGGAGCGGAGCCTTCTCTTGGGTCCTCTTTATGAAGCTTTGGATATCTTCAAGGGATTGTGGGTTGGGTAGGAAGGTCTGAGAAACAAAGGTTCTCTTGTGAGGAGATGTCCGTGGAGCAGAGGAAGAGGAAGTAGAGCATGTAGAAGATGGAGTGGAACGTTTAGGTTGCCTGATACGACAGATAAAGTTAGAAGGAGGGGTAGGCATCGGGGAAATGGCAGAGATTGGAGAATCTGGATTTAGACTGGAAGTGGAATTTGACAGGGGAAGAAAGGGAGGATGGTTTGGGGTAAAGGGAATAGATACTGGGGGAGATGTTGAGACAACTTGAGAAGATGGGAAGGGAACATAGCGAAGTTTTGAAATAGGTAGAGAGAAAAACCTCGTCGGCGTGCTTCCTGTCTGGCTTCACTTCTACCTCAGATTCCATACACTAAACCCTCTATCCAAACCTCTATCCCTTGCACTATTATTTGTATTTTTCTCCAACGATAGATTGCAGTTATTTCAGTTTACTTTTCCCCCTCTATTACTGTTGATTATAGCTCTCAAAACCTTACTCTCTCAACTTCAACCAGCCTTCATTATAACAGGTGATTTCAACTGCCGTCACACTCTCTGGGGTGATACCACCACAACCTCTCGTGGTAGATCCCTAGCTTATCTCCTTTCCACAACCGACCTCATTATCCTTAACTCTGACCGCCCCACGTATTTGACATGCGTACTCAATCTTTTTCATGCCTCGACCTCTCTCTATGCTCTCCTTCTCTTTATTTAGACTATCATTGGTCAGTCTTGGACCAATACCCCTATAGCGACCACTTTCCGACCCTCCTTACTCCTACTTCATAAACCCCACTTCCCAACCCCCAAGATGGTGCTTTAATAGAGCTGACTGACAAACTTTAACTTTTCACGCTTCTATAACTCACCTATCATCGCCATTATCATCCATTTCAGACAAAATACAGATGTTTTCAACACAAGTCTTAAGAGCTGCCTACACAGCCATTCCCCAAACCACTAGACATACGTCTAAATGCGTTCCATGGTGGAACTCAGATTATACTAAGGCGCTCCGTCAAAAACACGCAGCGTAGAATAGCTACAGATATAAACGAGACACTCCTTACCAATTATCCGCTCTTATATCCTTAAAAAAAGCGTCGCCCCATCTTCGACATACAATACGAAATAGTAAACGACGAGCTGGAAAACATACGTCTCGTCAATCACATCCACAACACCTGTATCAGCTATCTGGCGACGCATTCACAAAATATCAGGCAAACATCCTCCCCATCCAGGCCCAGTCCTCTGTATCAGAGATGCCCACATATCAGATCCTCTCCAAGTCGAATATAAACTAGGTGATTATTTCAGCCAAGTTAGTAGCGGCTCTCATCTTCCGTTCATTAAGACCACCAAAGAACGAACTCCCACCACGATTGCCCTTTCTTCAGATGAACCATACAATACTCCCTTTTCCTCCTCAGAATTACACACTGCCTTACATTCATGCCGCAATACCCATGAAGGCCTTGACGGCATACACTACCGTATGCTCAAACACCTCCCATCGTCCTCTTTGTCCTTTCTCTTAAAGATTTATAATCAAATTTGTACAACAGGATATTTCCCGCCTCACTGGAACGAAGCCCTCGTTCTCCCTTTCTTAAAACCAAACAAATCGGGTACCCACCCACAAGATTACCGCCCCATCGCTCTAACAAGCTGCTTATGCAAGCTACTAGAGCGAATGGTAAACTCACGACTAATGTTGTATCTAGAATCAAATAACCTCTCTTCTTCACAGTTTGGATTCCGTCGTACCAAAAACACAGCAGACCCCTTGCTCATTTTGAGACCTATATATTATCCGCATTTGCACGCCATGAAACCACCATAGCAGTATTCTTCGACCTAGAGAAAGCATGAGATACCACATGGCGGTATCATATCCTACAACAACTATCCTCTCTAGGGTATCATACGCAGAAACGTGGGAATGTTTATTAAATCCTTCCTTTCCAATCGCACCTTTAAAGTCAAAATTGCTTCTTCCACTTCATCCTCTTACCCTCTGATCGAAGGCGTCCCACAAGGCAGTGTTTTCAGTACTACCTTATTTCTTATTGCTGTGAATAACATTATATCAGTATTACCACCAGGGACCAAGCATCACTTTACGTTGATGACTTAATCATCTATAACTCCGGTCCATCCATACACTCTCCAACAACTCCTTCAGACAGTAACTTCAGACTTCAGTATCTTCCTGGGCCACTAATCATGGCTTTCGTTTCTCCACCACCAAATCCTTTTCTATCCTCTTCTCACGCAAACGTGCAAAACCCCAACCTCCCCTCTTCTTATCCGGCACTCCTCTACAATACCGCTCTTCGGGAAAGTTCCTTGGAGTAATTTTCGACT